CTTTCAGCATTCAGTCTCAATCTTTTTGAAGGCAGGCTCTAATTTTTTTTTTTCAGGCTGAACACTCTGAAGTTGTTACCCGAGCACATCTCGGCCAGCAGTTCAGGGAATGCACAGATGCAGACCAGCAAGAAGTGGTGGCAGAACAAGGAATAGTAAGACTGAGCTACAGCTTACTTCAAAATGGTATGTGTCAAACTGAGAGTTGGGAACTCGAGGAACTTGCTGCAGTGATTTACAGTCCACCTAGACAAAAAGCTCAAGGATTACTACCAGATATACCGCTCTGAATTGACCCTGTAGGCACAGATTACTTGACCTAATAGGCATCCTATCGGTAATTTCTGTGATTCATGATAGGTCAGTCAGAGAGTATGATAGATTTTCTTACCAACAGGGCTTGTGTAGTTTTCTAGGGGAGGCTACACAAATGCTAACAGCATTTTGCAGGTAAGACATTCATAACAGCAGAAGCATGCAATATATAACCAGATGTGCATTCTACATCCCCTTACTCTTAGAGTTCGTTGGTGTCACAGATTCCATTTCATAACACAAGCTCAAATACAGCTGTATTTTGAATTTTAAAATCCCACTGAAGACAAGTAAATTACTTTTCTGTTTAATTAAAACAGTTCTTATTTAATAACGTTACAAGAAGTTACCTTTTGCAACGTGTAATATACTTCTTTTTGAGAACTCTTTTAATGGTACAAAATGATTTGTCTTGCAAAATTCATCACATATTAGTTCCAGTAATTTAATTCTGTAGTTAAGTGTTTTTGCGATCCTGCACCCGCTTCTGCTTTCATTCATTGCTGCTTAATCCCACAAGTGCTAATATACAGTTAAGCTAGCACTGCAATAACTTCAGCTTGCTCTTTATATCTGAAATGGCTGTATTGCTTTAGGCAATAGACCACTGTATTCTATTTAGACTTCATATATTTTTATTCCTTTCTCTCCTTGTCTTGCTTTACAGTTCCATTCCCCAAATAATTAGCATGATGTAATGTGTCGTATAGAATAACATCTGAAAGCTTCAGACTAATTGCTACTGTTAAAACACCTTTATTTTTTGCCCTTTTCCTTCTTTATTTATTTATATACTTAAAGAAGAGTAAGCTCTGGCACTCACTACACACTGATAAGCAACATTTATCTACCCTAAGGTAGCCTTGCTTGTTCTGTTTTGGGTGGTTTTTTTTTAATTGCATTTTCCCACTAGCACTGAACTTGTTTTCTGGCTGCATATTTTCCCATGGTACATTTAAGATGCAACTGCTATAATTATTATGATGCAAAACACAAGCTTATATGAAAAACATTTTGAAGAAAAACCATGCAGCAATTACATAGGAAGAATGACTTATTTAACTACTGGTTTTCCTCTCTTGGCATGGGAACTACAATGTTTTTATAGAATTTAAGGGCCATAATGATCATTTCACTGGTACAAACAATAGATAGACATTTAAAACAGACCTTATCTACATTAAATGTATTTCATGATTTAACAAAATATCCACAAGACTGCAATAACACAGGCCAAATGTACTTCCCAGCTGATGAAAATAGTGATTTGCTTCCAAGTCTTAAATTTGCTATTCAAAGAAAGGTTCTCATTTTCCCTGAAAAACTGTCCGGAAGGATAATTTGGACCACTGTGGGTACTGAAGGTCAACCCTCACTGGGACGATGCACCAACAGGTACAGGCACATGGCTCTTCCCAGCAGTTCTAAGTCCACCCTGCATGCAAGCAAGCTCTTGGGTTTGGGCACTGCTGTTTACCATACTTAAATACATTTGTCCCAGCCCTGGAAAAGAATATCTAGGGCAGGATTTTTCTAGATATGCCTTTTTCCACAGCCACCATGCATTGTAGCCCAAAGTCACTTCCAGGAAAGCTTCCAAGTATGCCCAAATTCCTATGCAAATAAAGGGAGGCCTTCAGTTTAGGCACATAAACAAATCTGTGCCCAACTAATTTTAACAGTCCGAAGGTATCTTCAAAGTAAAGTCTCCTCCTCTTAATTGGGAGTTGCTATTAAGACTGGAACTGATCCCAACAACTTTTTCTCTTGAAGCACACCAATAAATCCCTGATGCCCGTGGTCAGCCAATGATATTTTCTGCTCCTTCGGACAAAGACATATTGCTGTTTCGAGTTGAGAGCCACATGGCCATCAATCATTTGCTCAGCGGTGCTACCTCCCAGCTCCGCCTTGCCACATACGCTCTGCTAATAATTAAATCCCAGTCCATAACTCCCAGAGCAGCCACCAAGGTCTCCTCTGCAGAACATGCTCTTTTGCCATGCAACCAGGGAGGGAGATCATTCATGAGCAGAAGTGACACTTGTCAGATTGGTGCTGGCTTTTGATTAAGGAGCAGGACTCAGATGTCCACTTCCCACGACGCGCAGTGTTCAGTCTCATTAGGCAGGGTGTGAGGATACTCATTACAGCAAAGGAAGCTCCTTATGCTTCCAAAAATCCACCAACCTTAAGTCAGTAAATCACAGATATTAATTACAGGAGAAAATTGTTAATGTGGCAAAAATTTCAGAATATCATTAATAGTGCTTAGGACAGTTCCATTTAGGGATGCTAGCCCACTGTCCCCAACACCACTGTGAGAGGTCCTGCATGAGCACACAGCATCCTTTCCCCAGGGACTGTCCTATCTCAAAGAAAACTGAAAGGTTTCAGATGCGCAAACTGCCTTTTTGCACAAGATGCAAGACAGCAAAAAGACAGTAGAGCATATCTGCAAGAGATGGGTGTAAGTCAATGGATGAAAACAATTCCCATTTATTTTTAAACCACTACCTCTCCAAAGCAGCAGGTTTTCAGCTAGAAAGTTTTTAAAACTCATTGCAGCAGGATAAGAAATGTGACACATGTCACTTCCTAGATCTGCATTGAGATAGCCAGATGGCCAGTTCCACCAGCAGACCAGAGGAATATGGTAGGACAAGGAAGAGCAAGGTGATGAGCAGCTAGAGAGAAGAGTTACAGATGTTTGCAGGATACCCACCTGCCCTCACCCTCAGACTGGCATGATCACTAAAACAAACATGCCAGGAAGCTGTCTGGTTGCATCAGAATCAGCAAAGTGAAGCCAATTTGGCTGTTAGAGCACTGATACTTTGGCTGCAGCCAAGCTATAAAACATGACCTGAAAGTCTTGAGAGCAAACATCCAGAAGCATCCACAGACAGATAGCACACTGGCTTGGCACTCAGGAAGCTTCCAGCTGCAGGTCTTTCCAACCTGTTGGTTGAGCGTGGGCAAGCAAGGGTCTTGCCTTCTCTTTCTGCAAGATGAGATAACACCAGTGCTAACAGCCTAATGAGGTTCATGTGAAATGCCATGCAGACAAGGCTGACCTATCTGCAGTTTGAGAAGAGGCTTGCTCAGTGCTAACCTGTATCTGCAACATGCAGTACAGATCATGCTCATTCACATCACTGGAGTGGAAAGCTATCTGCATTTCCCAGGTGCAACCTCTGACTTCAGTGACTCAGGTATATCTGTTAATTCCAGGCAGGTGATAAGCAGCCAAACGTACATTTCTTGTGAATATTCAAGCAATTATGAGAAACTGGGAAAAACATTCTTAGACCGCAGAACACTGTTAACCTGTAAACACATGCTCTGAATTGACCATTTATTTGGACAACTCCTAGGATAATGCCATAGCCATTTAATGGCACAGCTCTTCGACTGGTAGTGACTCCTGCAGAATACAAAGGATACATAATCCTGCAGCAGCACATCTATCCTATTCCTCTCAGCTGGACACAGCTGTTGTGGCAAATGAGCTGCCAGGTTCCTATTTCTTTTTTGTTGAGCATTGGTCATGCATGACAGTGCTTTAATATATATTTTATTTTAGCTCTTCAAATTCCTCTTCAGATTACTAAGTGAAACAAACGTATACAAAGGAATGATAGCCGAAGACTAAGAAAAGGTATTTTATAACCATAACAGCTTTTGTTGTAATGCAGCCATAGAAGTGACTGAAATGGTCTGCCCAAACAGAAGCCCCTACAGGATCTAGCTCAGAATGGTCAATTTAGCTGCAGTGCAAGGCACACAAAATGGAGACAGTGCAACAAAGAAAATCACGAGGCCAAAGATCTTCAGGAATCAGGGCTTCCTTTCTACAGCAAGTGAAACTGTTTTCAACTAAAGACCGAAAAGACAGTTCAGGAAATGAAAGATAACTCAAACATTGTCTCATTCTTGAAAAATATCCCAAATGTGCAGTCCTCTCCCCACTACCACCATGAGGAATGTTTACTTTCAGGAACAAATTCATTAGCTACAGTGGGGTTACTCATATGAGAAACCATTATTACACCAAGAAGGTGGTGCTGGCAAAGGAACTAACTGGTATGTACCAACCTTAGGGGATGCAAAATCAAGACAGGATGATATAATGAGCTTTTTTTTTTTTTATTATTTGTAGCTGTGAGATACAAAGAATGTATCTTTCTCCTGTAGTTGGTGGCTGGAAAAGAGTTCTGACTCCACACATACACCTCACAAATACGTGCAGAGTGTATTTCCAGCTGCTGCAAGCAAGGCACTGAACTCAAACCCAACAAAGCAGTCTTTGCTTGCTCCTCATCCACCATGCAGGTGCTTGCTGCTCCCTGCTGGTACAGCTAGGACCCTGAGAGCAAGGATCAAGCAAGGATATGTTATGGGCCAGTTATGCAAAGGATGTGTGGAATGAATGGCCAGTTTTGTTCACCAGTCATCTGCAGTTCTGAACTGCCCATGCCAGGAGATCAGTGCAGTCTTTGCATAGTTGTGACTGTCTACTTTTTCACTACATAGCAGAAAGAAGATTTACATGAGATAGTCTCTATCATTAGAGTTACCGTGACATAGCAATTTCCCTGTTCAGCTGCCCTTTGCAGTAACAACATGGTGTTATATTGGCAACTGTTCAGTGCATTGGCAGCCTGTGAATTTGCAAAGCTTACCTTAACTTCCACATGTGCCATCAGGACTGCAAAGTTGGTTAGGTGATTGCAGGAGCATGTGGTGTGTGTCTTGTTAGTTGTCAGGAGGCGACATCCTTGGGTGGACCAATACCCAGTCATGGTACGCTTAGTATAGCTCCAGAATGAACAGTTTGGATTGAAATTTTCTTCTGACTGCTGCAGGGAAGCAATGAGTAAATGCAGTAAAATGATAGGGTTTCAGAGATTCCTAAACACATTACCTTTTTTTTTTTTTTTTTTCACCAGAGGCACTTCGTAACTCTTACTCTTTAATTTTAGATAAACAATCAACAATGACTTCGAAGTCAAGGATTACTTGTCAGCACCAGAGAAAGTTAGGTTGTTGCTGCTCTCATTGCTAACACAAACCTAGTTCTTTGTTCTTGATTAATTTCAGACATAGACTAAATTCAGCTCTTCAAAACCAGATTGCTTCATTTGCATTGCAGAGCAGAGAAATTAATTGCTTTAAGCAATCAACTTTAGCAATGACTGTGCTTGGCTAACAGGAGTGCTAGCTGTCCTTTTTCACTGTAATTCCACTTTCCTCTAATATCCCCTGCCACCATGATAAAATAATATTATGGCCTATTCTAATATATTGTTGGTTTTTAATTACAGAATGACGTATGTCAGCAACTGAGCAATGGGCATCAGCTCAAAGGAGACTTTCTTTACTTTTATTAATGCAATACAAAAGAGATATTCTCCATAAACAACTCAAAGTGCAGAGGAACAAATGTGTAATTCAAAATCTAATCAAGGACTGCTGGGGGCCTCAGATCAGCAAACTTTTATGGCACTTTGTAATAGAAACAGAATTTAAAAAAAAAAAAAAAAAAAGGTATTCAAACTTGCTCACCTTGATATGCTTGACAGTAAAGACCACAGGATCAGCCAGGTAAACCTTATTGCTGAACTCTTTGTTTATTGCTGCCGTGATGACAGGGGAGTTGACGATGACGGAGTGATTAGTAGACATCGCTTCAGTTCCTAATTTCATGCTAGCATTCTCCGTGGAGAGATAGGTGCCCAAGTTGTTGTACAGCACAAAGGCTACCCTGATTTCACCTAGGAGAGCAGTGTGAAGTTAGATATCCAGCTCAGTGTACTGGCTTTCATTTTTGATGACAAATTTCTTCTCTGAATGAACTTAAATTTTTTTTTTGGGGGGAAAGCATGAAAGAATCAAGATGTGGTATATGAAAATTCACCTTCTCCTGCCTATACCAGTGAGCACCATGAAACACACCGAGTGGTCCAAGGATGAAAAGGCAAGAGCTGCCACTGCAAAACAAACTCTTATAAGCAAACAGATTGGAGTAGATGGACAGCAAAGGTGAGCTTAATTTTGGAATCAGTAGAAAAACTGGCTCCCGAGAAAAGAGGCCAGGTGACGCATTTCTCACCTGACTTAACACTATTCTCCAGGCAACACTTGGGAAACATATTTCATTCTGGCCTGCCATAGAGTTGCAGTGTAAAACTATAATTTAGTCCAACACAACCCCCATTAATAAATCAGGACTACCTCAGAGAAGTGTGAGGTCAATCTGGGAGAGGAAATCCAAAACTTTCCAATACAATTCCAATCTCACGTGAAGAGCAAAACAAAAACAGCAGAAATTTGTCAATCAGATAAGCCTCTTTCCATAAATACCCACCACTAGGAAACGTACAGAAAAACACCACACTACCAGCCAACTGGTTGTTTTTTTGTTTGTTTGTTTGTTTGTTTGTTTTTTAGCTGAGATCATCCTGTTTGCTTTCTGTTTTAATTCAGAGGCTTCAAATAAGAACCAAATGTGACTAGTTTGCCTTTGTGTGGGGAATATTTTTTGTTTCACTCCAGTTTCTGCAGAAGATGAAGCACTGATGACTCCAAAGGTCCTTCCCAAGCTTAATTTTTCTACAATAATTTCTTTCATAGCTGTTTGGAAACCTCTAGGTGAATGCCAAGCTGATAAAAATTGATGGGGCTCCCTCAATTTGACCAGTACTCCACTGATATGCTTAGAAATAAAGACTTTCCTTCCTTCTGCCAACACAATTCTCTTCCCCTCCATATCTTCTCCAAAGCTCACTGGTGAAATGCCTGTCCCACTGGAATTTTGCTGCTCATCTTGGGTTTTACATCAACTCTAAAAGAAGCACTGTTCTTTAAACCCTGCATTTAAAAGTATCAAAACCCACCAAGGAAGCCAATGGCAAAGCTCTCTTTCTGAGCCACCAAATCAAATTTTTCCCTCAGCAATTGTCTAAAATTTTGGCAGTTTTAATTCATCTAGTTTGGTTGTAACGTTCTCCTATTACTCTGTGTAGTGATCAAACTCTGCAATAGACTGCTTTTCCCCTACATACAGCTTAATCTTGAAAAAACAGCCGTCACAAAATGCACACTCCTTGCAGACCAGTAAAGTGACCGAATGAAGTATAAACTTTAAAGGAACTCATAAATAGGACCATGTCAGTCCCATCAGTAGAAAGCCTGGCAGTTTAAAGTTGGCCTATAGTGAGGCTGGAGAGATCAACAAATGTATCTGCTCAAATTTCTGATCTGGAAATAAATAACTAGACAGCTTGAAGACTATTCATACACAGTATCATCTTAAATTTATGGTATATTAGTAGGTTCAAAACCTTCAGAGAGAAAGGCACTAAAGATGCAAACTCTTAACAGTTAATCAAGATCTTCTGCCATGTTGGCCCATTATTAAGATTTGTTGCTATTGTTTCTTCCCTTTCCTTTCGGAAACATGCATAGTGCCCCACTGTGAAGCAGGTTACTCATACAAAGCTCTTATTCCATGTGGAGGTTCCCACGGTAGATAACAGTAGTTAAAAGTACTTCTCTGGATGCAGCACTGTGCCCCAACAAACACATCGTGTAGGGATCTGGTGTATTTCTACCACTATATAATGCTTTTGAAGGCTATCAGTCACTTGGCAACGTAATACATTCCTTGCGAACCAATGTAGCCTTCAGCCAAGGGCTTGGGCAACTGACATTAACGTTAACGTAAATATTAACAGAGTGATTAATACTAAACTTATAAATGGTTAAATACAAAACAATAATTACAAGCCATTCACAAACAATGCCTGAAGCACAACTGATTTAGAAGGCCAGCATGGCAGAGGTGCTGTATACCTACCATTTCGACCATTTTGTTTCAAAGTATTTGCTGAAAGTTGAATGGCACTCCCATGGCCCGTGTTCTGGGGAAACTTCAGATCTTCTAGATTGCCATCTGTACTTAGTCTTGCAACTTCCAGCTCTGTTTGCAAGAGAGACCAACAGTAAGAAAAATCACTACTGAAAATAATCACCTACATAATATTTGGAAGTTAAAAAATGGTGTTCCAGACCATCTGAAAGTAGAGGAATCATGTTACAAGGTTTCACACTAGACACTTTTTTTCTAAATCTTTGCCCTGAAGAAATTTCAGATTTAATTAAAAAATAAAAAATAAAAAATCAAATAAATTCAGTTCTCTGCGGAAACAAAAGACAACTAGTTCTTGTAAACAAGAACCTCAGGATATTAAGGACAATGGTTAAAATGAAAATCTGAAAATGCTAGTTCTTTGCCACTGGCAATTGGTACTTTCTGTAAATGTTATCAGTTCTTGGGATCTGTATTCATAGAAAAAGAAAGAAGAGTTGTTCTCATTTTACATATGCACAGTGGGAGTTCTGGTGCTTTCCATCATGCTTGTTTTTTAATTAAAATCAACAATCAGCCAAATAAAGATACGAATTTGTATGAAATGAAACACAATTGCATTTTGATGAACCATCTCCCTGTGAAGCAAAACTCTCAGTGTGGTAGCACAGATTTTGCACTTGAAGCCAGGAGTAATAAAGGCAATTTAGGTTCTCTTTTCCCATGGGATTTCAAGGACAGGGAGTTATCTTATTCCCTTAGGCTCTTTTGGAAAGACTTCTAAGTTTTTCACACCAGTGGCCAAGACACATCCAACACTGCTCTCCAGTTAATGTAGAGCCAAGACTGAAGTCAGGTTTCACAACCCTTACTCTCCCTCTGGTGCTCCCAGTATGTATGGGCTCTGTCTCTTACGGATATTGTCAGTGTTTTCACGGACAATGTCAGTCTTCAGCAGGTTATCAGCCAGCACGAAGGCACTGTCCTCCACGGTGTCAAGCAATTTCGTAGCTGCACGTTGCTGTTCACTTGCATTCAGATCCCTCCAGGCATTCAGCGCCTGTGGTTGCAGGAGGTTGTTCACTGTTTCCACCATGGCCTGCAAAGGAGAGCAACTAAGTAAGAAAGGGCTTGAGCAAACATAGAGCATCTCTGAAACCTCTGACATATACGCCCAGTTCTCTTCTCAACACACATAGGGACAGAACAGCATGTCTTTCCCCACCCACTGGGGCAGCCTACAATGAAGCTAGTCATCATTTACTGCATTACATGAGAGTGGGAGGAAATCTTGATTTTACTTGATTTTCAGCTTCCACGACCATCAGCTCAGATTCAGAAGGAATTAAGAGTCAGGGATGGTGGAAGGGGGATGTGGAAATCCCAAAAGAAACATGAAGAAAAATATACTTCAAAAGCTATCTGAGAAGTAAGTTGCTGCTATCTGCTGCATTAAGATTCAGAAGCCAGGCTGGGACACTCACAGAAGTTCTCTAGTATCCATCTGCAAGGGCTACGCTCCTTCCAGAGCATTTCCCACCACAGAGATTTAGATAAGACGCTCCATTTCAAATGTCTCAATTTGGGAAGGAGTCAGCCATCCGACAGGCCTGCCCCACAAAGAAACACTCCCATTGCCAGCTATCACTGACTGCATAAACCAACCTTCCCTTTAAAATGAAGTTGCCACTCTTAACAATTTTCTGCATGCTGAAAGCATAGGCATCAAAGCCATAGTTCTGTTTTTCAAGACAGACAGTCCTGTGGGCTTTCTACATGCTGCAAGCCTGAAGATACTCCGTGGGTCACTCATGGAAACACTTCAGTTTTTACTCCTGACTGTCTCTAAACCCATCCTCAAGTTGATGTATGAAAAGAGGATGCAGCATGGCCTGCTCTCTAGCAGAACTCTAAGAAGAGCATTACAATGGCAACACAAGGCACAGAGAATTTAGGGCATCCTGACTCCCCCTCACCAGGCACAGTCAGATACGAATGTGCAGAGGAAGAATAAAATCACACTGAACCAGAATAAAATTTTATTGTTGTACGCAGGTGACCTTCAGGAAGATTCAGCTACCGCAGTGTACACGGAAAAGTGAAGACAGCTGAGCCTGCCACTCCTGGTGCTTTTGATCCCAGAAAAGACAATTAACAGAGACAATGTCATGAGCATCTTCATCCTAAATGTCCTTCAGGTTTAGAAGTTTCTCATACCACTGCAGCTCCCATTGGAAGACTGAGCCAGAATTGGGCTGTTCCGACAATAATAAGCCCATACTTTCCAACTTAACTCATGACAAAATAATTCATTTGTTTTTATGCCAAATCTCTCCTTTACCTTAAGTAAATCTTCCCCTACCTAGAGCTACTGCCTTGATTAAGAGGCATTTTTCCTGAGCCTCATAGCTTGGTTTCCAAAGGATAGAGCAGCCAATGCTTCCACCACTGAAGCAAACTGAAATGGCTGAAAACCTCTTCCTCTATCGCTAATGCAAAAAACTTTTTGCTGTGAAGCCTTCACAGTGCAAGACTGGAATCCTTTCCCACTTGCTATTAAGTAGAACTTATTAGCCATAAATCAATTTCTTAAGTTGATTATTAAACACATATTCTTGAATCATCTAAAATCAGTCTAAAAATCAGTCTAAAAATCATCTTAACAAATGTGGTATGTACTCAGGAAAAAATGGTTAACTTTAATTTAAAGAAATACTAAAAATCCATAGCATTTCAGCATGCTTTTCTGGTGTTATTAAGGTCTTGAAGCCTGACTGTTGCAGCTCTTCATAAAATTCTGTGACTTACTAAAGTAGCTTATCTCTTTGCAGGCAGAAAGAAGGTGTTACTCTTTCACAGTGAGCAAAAACCTTGTCTATTTTGCTGCGCAGGTTCTATACAACATGGCCTTTTCTTGCAAAGATCTTACATTCCTGGAAAGCAGAATATGAGGATTTTTCTCCCCTTTCAATGTTATCATGCAGACTACTATTTGCCTTACATCCATTCAGCTCAGCTACTAATGTTGTTTTTAAATCTCTATTAAAACAACATGCTAGATACTTTTATCAATATCTGAATGGTGGAAATAGTCATTGCTGCAGGTCTGTCTTCTGGCTCTGGATGGAAAGGTAATGTCTATTTGTCTAAACATGAAACAGATGCCACGATATTTCTGTTATAGTGAAACACATGCTGCAAAGAATTTTCCTCAGAAAAGTAATATAGATACATTTTTTTTTTTTTTTTAACAAAGTATGTGTGCATACAAAGCCTGACAGAGAACCTCACTTAGGCCTTATGTGCCACCTTCTGCACAGTGTGTCCATCCAAGAAGCATCTTCAAGTGACAAGCCTGAAAACAGCCACTTCATGCCACCCTGGGCCTGACTCTAAACCTCCAGAAGGATTTCCAAGGACTTCAGTTCAGGTCCCTAACACATATCTGAGCAAGTTGGTAGACTGTCATCATTGGCAATACATCCGAGATGAATTTAGTCCATTGCTTTTCCCAGAGGGTCAATCCCCTCACCTGCCTCAGAGCATTAATCAAGTGTTCCCCACATTATATTTCTGAGAGCAGCACTTCATTATGGCTGAGTGCTGTGGGCTGAAGCCAAGGAGATGAGGTGCTAATGAAATGTTTGCATTTTGGACAGGAGCTGAGGTAGGTGTTTAAATGAAACAAAACAGCTGTTAAAGCAACAGTGTCTCTTGAGAAACAGATGCCAACTGGGAAAAATTGGACAGGAGAAAGGGAACTGTGGGAAAGCAGGCACATGGGACACAGACTGGCCTGTGTCTTTGCATTTCGCTGAGGTTTAGGTTGGTTTGCCACCAGCTTCAATGACTTTGTGGACTGATGAAGCTCTAGCAAAGAAGCAACAGTGCCAGTCTCCCAGTAAAGCCTCTCAGATACCAGCAGGATTAGCCCCGACAAAGGACCTTTGAAATGAGGAAGGTATGAGATAGGTGCTCCTGGGAGCTGATGACTTGATGAATGTTACCTGAGACCCTTGGTGACCTTGAGGAAGGTGGGGACATTCAAAGGGAGCTAAGGAAGTTCTGATCTAGTTCTGCACATCTACCTCACTGAAGACCTTGTCTCTTTCCCATTCTAAAGCTTTTCAGCTGCTGTGGTTTTCTTCTCTTCCAAACACAGCTCAACAGGGTGAACAACTTTTGAGGGAACCACAGCATACTTGTGAGCCTCAGGCAAAATAAAAGTATGGTCTCCAGCATATCTCAATGTCCCCTACAATACAGAAAAAAGGAAAAAAGACTGCAAAACCCAATGCCAAGGCTGCTGGGGCTTAGAGAATGAAGAGCACAAGTATGCATACACCCAGGGAGAAGTATAAAAGCAACAGAAATTACACTAAGGGAGACCTTGAGAAGTGTAAACAAATGAAGGAAGAAGAGCCTGCAGAATGGAGACAGGAAAGAAGACTTTCCATCTGTCTTTTTATCCTAGGATGTGTAGGTGTGGCTCTATGCTAAGATATCAGGCTACCTATAAATTAAACACTAAACTTCCTAAACACAAGCTCGTGAAGAACAAGCATCCTGAGTCAGATGAAAGGTCGAATGTATCTAATACACTGTCTCCAACAGTGACTACAAATCAACTATAGAAGACAAAAAATGGTGGGGAACTCTTTTACTGTTATTTATATAGCACCAAAGAGTGTAATTTCAACATAAATAAATGTTACAAACTGCAGAGGGAGAATTTTTTCCCCCCAAATAAGCACATATGGCTCAAGATTTTTTTGATTTAGTCCTGACAGAAACAAAATGTAAAACTTTCTTCTCAAACACTTATAAAACAGTATTAAAAGATGTACTGCTGAAAGGTAACTAAGTCTTCAGTAACTGTGCATTCCTAAAGGAGATCACATATATCCCACTGATTTCCTTTGTGACAGCTGCTTCATCCTGTAAAACTGAAGTTTGCTTTTCCACCTATTTTTATGTTCTGCCCCTGTAGAAATACTTGGCCAAAATACATGACTATGTGACACACAATTTAAACCCATGAGGGAGGATATACCCAGTGATACCACACCCACTGGCTTATCTCTCATCATATCCAAAGTCTCCCATCATATCTCCCACCAAAATCCAAAGTATTACCCTTTGACAAAAATAGATTCTGTAATGTAAAATCTGTCTTTACATGGGAATTGAACCTGGAAATCACCTAAAGATGTTAGTCCTACTAATCTCGTCAAATTTGGGACTGGAGCTCATTGTGCCACATTGTTTAAGCACAGCAATCCTAATCTTAGAAGACCAGCAGCCCTCCTCCAGTCAAGTCCTAAGGGTGCTATGTTCTAAACCTTTATAGTTCACTTTGTCCTCTTGCTGAGCAGCTGACAGAGAAAAAAAAAAAAAAAAAAAACAACACAAAAAAAATACCCACCAATGAACTGAGTGTTACAGCACGTTTTCAAGGGTATGTGAGAAAATACCTCTTTATGCCAAATGAATACCAGCAGGCCCCTCGGGGAATACTGATTGAGTCCCTCTGCAGAGTAATTTTCAAATTCACAGTTCATCCTTCTTTGCAATACAGCACCTCCTTAAGAAGAGACTGAAAACGAACTATAAATTATTTTGCATGTAACTTATATCAAGGCCTCAGATCCTATAGCAGCTCTGGCATTAAAGCACCACTTTTGCAATGACATCTCTAATTAAAAGAAATGCATTTTATAACTTTTAAAGCCCAATCTCACACTGCTAACACTTGTCTTCCTTGACCTGAAAGGAATATTTGATGCAATGCACTTTTAAAAATTAGTACAGAAGGAATTACGTCAACAAAGCTGTGCTTTGCACTGGTATACTAAAGTCAAAACTGATGCGTGAAACAAGCAGTGCTTGTAAAATTACCCCTGTACAAAAGGTGTTTGTTGGCATAGTTTGCTGAGAAAAGCCTTCTCACCTTTTCTTAGAACAGTGGTGCTAAGGCCACAGAGAGCAAACACAAAGTTACAGCCTTAGTCTGTGCTTTGTCTGAAGTTCTGGTCCTGTCTGATGCCTCTGGGTGCTACTCCAAAACAAGTGCATCATCATCTTTATTCAAAGCATGCA